ATATATATGGTGGGGCTTTCTGTCTATCCATAACGCCCCTGGTAGTGTTTAAGTCATTACCTTCATGGGAGAAATTGTGAACCAGATGGCCTTTTGTCCTGAGAGTCACTGGGACTCTACCTGAAGATTACCGGGGCTTCCCACCCCCCACCCCCAGTCTGTCAGTAACTAACTTCAGACTTGGGAGAAGAGAGAACCGAAACCCAGTAACTTTACACACAGTGTCTGGATCTTCCCCTAAATCCTATGAAGCAGGGAGTGTTGGCCCATTACACAAAGTTCACTACAATGCACACCCGAGTCAATGGGGTCAGGGAGAGGACAAGGAAGAAGGAAGGGATAGGAGTGGGTAGAGAAGAAACTGGGCTTCGGCGGAGTCAGGGAAAAGTCTCATCCAAAGCCCCAGAGGAGCTCCAAGCAGGCCTGAGTTGACCTCACATCAACCACCCGTTGGGTGTAGGCTGCCCTGGGGAAAGAGTTGAGATGCTCCAAGGGCAGTAGCTGGGGATGAGCTCCAGTCCCAGGAGAGGCTCTGGCAATGCCATGCACAGTCCAGGGATGCCAACGTCTCTGCCAAGTGCAGCTTCCCCGAGTCTCAGAGGACACATCTGTTCGCCTGGGAGAGGACAGGACACACCTAACTCACTTCTCAAGCCAGGCTTTCTAGGTCAAAGGCCATGAATAGGCCCTGGAACTGGCAGTGTTTGGGTGAAACATCCAAGAGTCTCACAGTTAAATCTTGTGATTTCGTGATTATGGATTATACGTGTTTAAAATAAGTTTGTGTCACTTTTGTTCTGAGAAGTTCTACATTTAATCTGTAACAAATGTAGTCTTCTGAGATTTTTGTTTGCCCATCTCACTGGCTGTGTGTTGTGAATAAGACGAGCTCTAATCAGCCGTCCAGGAAAGGGTCATCCCATTATAGCCACACTGCGCTCTAAATAGTGACATCTAACCCACTGGTGAGCTTGGTCAGCAGGGGTGAGAGGGAGAGAGAGTGGGAAATGAGGGGGCTGAAAACAGTCTCAACACATTATATACATGGATGAAATTGTCAAAACTGAATATAATTTTTTGGATTTTTCCTTTATTTTTATTTTATGTGTATGGCTGCTTTGCCTGATGCCAATCGGCACACCAGTTGTGGGCAGTATCTATGGAGACCAGAAGAAGGCACTGGGTCTCCTGGAACTAGAGTTGTGACCCACCATGTGCATGCTGGAACTCCAGCCTGTGGAACTGTACTCTTAACTACTGCACCATCTCTGCAGCCCCTAAGAAAACGTCCGACAGGCATGTCTTTCCAAAGTTATTTGCATTTTACTGAAGCTCTTGGCTCTGGAGGCACTGGCTCCTAGAGATTTCTAGGCGGTTAAGGGGCCCTTGAAGAAACCCTGCAGGCTGTGCAGTTTCTGGTTCGCTCTGCTCTTTCCGTTCTGTATCTGATTCCCGGCTCCAG